GGAACTGGGGAATATTGGGAGGCACTGGGAGCACTGGGAAATATTGGGAGGCACTGGGAGACACTGGGAGGTGGTACTGGTGTGAACTGGGAGGCACTGGGAGGCACTGGGGGACACTGGGAAACACTGGGGGACACTGAGGCAGTACTGGTGTGTACTGGGAGCACTGGGAGGCACGAGGGAGACACTGGTGTGCACTGGGAGCACTGGGGGACAGTGGGGTGAACTGGGAAACACTGGGGAACACTGGGGGGAACTGGGCAGACTGGGAGGCACTGGGAGACACTGGGAGGTAGTACTGGTGTGTACTGGGAGGTACTGGGGGACACTGAGGCAGTACTGGGGTGCACTGGGGGACACTGGGCAGACTGGTGTGTACTGGGAGCACTGGGAGGCACGAGGGAGACACTGGGGATTCTGGGAGGAACTGGGCAGACTGGGAGCACTGGGGGACACTGGGAGGCACTGGGGAGCACTGGGGAATACTGGGGTGCACTGGTGGGCACTGGGAGGAACTGGGGGACACTGGGGGACACTGAGGCAGTACTGGGGGACACTGGACAGACTGGTGTGTACTGGGAGCACTGGAGGGCACGAGGGAGACACTGGTGTGCTCTGGGAGCAACTGGGGAATGCTGGGGTGAACTGGGGAACACTGGGGGGCACTGGGTAGACTGGGAGGCACTGGGAGCACTTGGGAATGCTGGGAGGCACTGGGAGACACTGGGAGGTGGTACTGGTGTGCACTGGGAGGCACTGGGAGGAACTGGTGGGCTCTGGGAGCACTGGGGAGTCCTCGGGGAGTGACTGGGAGGCGCTGGGGTCAACTGGGGAACACTGGGAGGGACTGGGTAGACTGGGAGGCACTGGGAGCACTTGGGAATGCTGGGAGGCACTGGGAGACACTGGGAGGTGGTACTGGTGTGCACTGGGAAGCACTGGGAGGAACTGGTGGGCTCTGGGAGCACTGGGAATACTGGGGGGCACTGGGGGGGGTGTCTCATTCCCCCTTTTCCCAACTATCCCTGGATTTTTCCCCCTGGGAAATGGGTCGGGAGAGGCCCAAGGGCAGCCCTTGGAATTCCAGCCTGGGCCCCACATTCCAGCCCTGGGTTTGGGATGTTTGGGATCCCTCCCTGACTCCAGGGGGTGTTTGGGATCCCTCCCTGACTCCAGGGGGTGTTTGGGATCCCTCCCTGACTCCAGGGGATGTTTGGGATCCCTCCCTGACTCCAGGGGATGTTTGGGATCCCTCCCTGACTCCAGGGGATGTTCCTCAACCTGCCCTCACCGAGCTGGGAGAACAAATCCCTGTTTTCCCTCCTTTTCCCATCAAATTCCGCCCGGGAATGTCCAACCCCCCCTCGGATTCGTGCCTCTTAATTGGTCCCGTAATTAATTAACGGAAACTCAGGAATTGGGAGCTCTGGAGAAGATCCCTGTTGGGATTCAAGGGTTGGGAATTCCTTGGGTGGTGAATCCCTTTTATTAAGGAGTTTTTTCCCGGGATTTTCCCTGTTTTTTCCCTTCAGGAAGGACACGTCCGACCTGTCGGAATCGGCCAACGGCTCTTCCCAGATGGAGGAGAATTCCTTGGAATCTGCCAGCAGGGAAGCCTATTTCAGCAGGGTGGAAACCTTCACCATATCCTTTGGGATGCTCCCCCTTTGGGATCCTGGAATCTCCTCGTTCCCACAGGGATCAAACCCTGCCCCTGGCCCCTCCTGGGATATCCCAAAATCCCTGGGAGTGTTCCCAAACATTCCTGGAGCTCTTGGGGTCGTGACCATTCCCTGGGGAGCTGTTCCTGTTTTCTGGGGGAAAGACCTTTCCCTAAAATCCAACCCAAACCCACCTGGAACAGCTCCAGGATTTCTGGGATCTTATTTTTCCCATCATATTCCCTATTTTCCCAGCATTCCCTTTTCCCCACCATTATTCCCTACTTTCCCACCGTTATTCTCTATTTTATCCCACCATTATTCCCTATTTTCCCACCATTCCTTAATTTTCCCACCGTTATTCTGTGTTTTATTCCACGATTATTCCCTATTTTTCCACCCTTATTCTGTATTTTTTTAACCATTATTCCCCATTTTTCCCACCCTTATTCCCTATTTTTCCCACCATTTTTCCCACCCTCATTCCCCATTTTCCCCCACCATTATTCTCTAATTTTTCCACCATTTTTCCCACCATTATTCCCCATTTTCCCACCATTCCCTATTTTTCCCCCCACTATTCCCTATTTTT